AGAGAATGAATCCTTGCTTTGTTGACATAGCTTGGCTCCCAGCCTGTGATTTTAGTGCATGGGTTTAGTGCATGTGAGCGTGCCTCACTTGCTAGCTCAGGGCCGCCGCTCTGCACTGAGCTCATACGGCGGTTACAGCTGATAATGGCATCCCGACCGAAGGTGTCATAGCGGAAGCATAGCACCCACCCTACCCCTGATTACCCCTCAGGTAAACACTGTTAGCTCTGTCAGCACTTTTGCAATAGTTTGCATTGTAAGCTGCACTTATTAAAACTGCAATAATTGCTTTAAAAAAAAAAAAAACTTGGTTACATTAGAGCAAGATGTAAACACAAATTTGACATATTACCATATAAAGTTGATATGGCGAATATAACCCATGTACACATCTGGCGGACAGAGCCAAATGATGAATGTAAATCCAATGTTCAGTCTCCTCTTAGCTCTGTTTTTGGTCTCCACCAACTCCAGAGGGAAATATGTGGCTCTTTAGCTGCTAAACACTCTATATCGAATATTTGGTTGGCCACAGAACTGACCCACACATCACTGCTGACCTTATGTGTCCCTCCCGTTGGGAACAGTTTGTCCCTCAAGTTGCTTTCATGGCAATTGATCAGACTGCAGCTTTTATCCTTCATGCTGTAGTGGAGCATCTATGACTCTTTAAAGGAGGTGGTTCCCACAGCATCCTCACAGTCCTCACGTCTTGATAAATTTAACCGTTTTATTTATGTCGCTGTTTAACACTCCAGATCCATTGAGAGAGGCTGGTTTTAGGACCAAGCGGAGACTTTTTTTTTTGGAGAGTGCAGGGTTACACCGACTTGTCAGTCAGACAGGAAAAGAGCACACAGCTGCCCCATGGCATCTGTCCTGGCTCTCTTTACACACACACACACACACACACTTACACGTACACCGAATCTCTTTATACAAAGATTTATGATATCACAAGTGCATCGCTACAGTTGATGTGGCCGTGCAGAGAAAGTGCCAGGAACTCAATTTTCAGTGATCCGACTGAGCAGCAGAGACGGGGAGAGAAAAAAAAGAGAGAGAGGGAGGGAGGGAGGGAGGGAGGGCTGAGGGATTCAACATGACACTAAAAGCTGGTGAGATGGCACTTGTCAGATCGTGCTCATTTGTTCATAGACACGGCATAGTGATTGTATAATGTTTCCCCCTGCTGCACGGAGGTGAGAAGTGGCCAGAAAGAAGACAATGTGTTTGTGTGTGAGTGTGGGATCGGTATGTGACCTTGGCTTCAGTACAGAGTCCAGTTGTTCCAAAGAATTCAGTTGGGCCGGGTGTGCAGGGAGCGGAGAGGAGTTACCCTCAAAACCCCGGGTGACTCACTTATTTATCTGGGAAGGCAGGAAACACTCTACGAGTCTAGCGTGAGAGAGTTGTTGCTCATCTGTTATTAACACACCATGTTGTCAATGATGCAGACATTAGCAGTTTACGGAGTGATGGAATACATACTAAAAACATATACGTCACAAGGACGGCAAGAACAGGGACTCCAGAAGATGGAACACCATAGAAATATAGAAGAAAAGCAGGAGAAGAACCAAATGAGAAAATATCGAGGATGTAGAAAAATACACAGTGGACCAGCAGGAAACTAACGTGTTGCTGTTGTAGATAAATATCATCATTTTAGTTTTTCTGAAAGGACTTTGTCCACTTCGTGGCCCCAGGAGGTGTGAAAATAGTTGCTGAAACACTTTCATCCAACAGCAGTTAATGTTTCCACCATGTCCTCCTAATTGATGATGCTCATGGAGCCCAGTGTAACACTTTCCATCTGTGCTGCTCTAAAACACAACCATGGTGTTTACTTTGCCAACAGATTCTGAGAAATTGACAGTTTCATTTTCTCAGCAGGCAAGCATTGATATACATGCTACAGTACGTGTAAACTAAACTGTTATATGTCAGACATTTGGTGAAGTGTCTTAGTATTGCAGGGGTTTTAGCTGGACAACTTAAAAATAGGTCACGCCCATCTGTCCTGGGGGATCCCCTCTTGCACTGTCAGGCTTCAGATTGGTGTTGCTTGGCTCTGAAGTGGTGCTGGTCGGATCTGGCTTAGCTGGGAGAAAGGTCAGACTGGAAGATGGAGGGTGTTGCATTGGAAATGTGTACACTTAATTATAAATACTCACTATTTATTAGCTATTACCACATATGCTAAATTCACCAAAGCTTTCCTTTATGTATACGAATTTCACCACAACTACTACATTTGTATTTTACACCTGAACCAAAAGCATCAGGAAAGAAAACTTGTATAATTATTAGGTTATTAATTAATTATTCAAATAATTGAAATAAATTGTTAATTGACAACAATTCTGATGATCAAATGTCTATCAAAATTTAAAAAAAAGACTAATAGCTTAATTGATTATGTAGAAAAGACCATCAGTAAATATAATGTTATTTTATCAAGAGTGACTCTTCATACATACAGGGCTGTTAAAGATTTTAGTGTTTTAGCAAAAGGGAAGAAGCTTTAAACTTCTAAGTAAGCCCAGCTGAATGATTGAAAGTCAACAGATATAACAGGTACATATAACTGATCACTCCATCCCAATTTACCCCCATGAAATATTTTGGCATACTTGCCCTACACCAACACTGAAGCACTGATAAGCTTCCAATCTACTGTTAAGTACAATTATTTCAATCAGACTCACTTTGATTTGTAACTTCCCACTGGCTAACTTTAGTCAAAGGCGGGGACTGAGAAGGGCTCAGGTCCTGCAAAACACTGCACACAGATATGCAACATGCCCCCCCCCCCCCACCCCCCTAATGCTCAGGACAGCCGGTGTGCCGTGTGTGTGTTGCCAGACCCCGGCATGGCTCATGTTTCTCAGTGCAGTTTGTCAGAGCCCAGCTTGGAGCCGCAGGCACCAGTGAGACTACACCAAATACATACATCCTGAGCTGACAGGGGCACATCAGAGGGTTTTCCAACCCAGAGAGAAGCTGCTGTTTGGGCCTCGGATTGGTCATAAAACAGCCAAGTACCATGGTTCTGCCTCCTGGCCTGCATAGTAGCACGGGAGTCTTAAGGAACATTTCTTTGCACAGATACCCTGCTGGATTACTGCTTTACAGGACACCGCTTTGGGAGCCTGTACATGCGAGTGGAGAAATTCTGTGAGTGTGACTGATTGTCAAAGGCCATTTTGCCTGAAATCACACAAATGCTTTCCTGAGGCGTTTGGCCATTTCTGTGGTTAGTGGATATCTGAACTGTTAAGTGGACTTCTTTACCACAGTCTACTCGATTTCCTCTCAGCGGTTGTTTAGTTGCCGGACAAGCTGGTCCGTTAGTAGTCGCCGTGTCAGTAGCTGCACCGGTGGCCGTGTCTGGTGGGGGGTTACGTGTCTCGGCCCCCACCATGATGATCAAGGAGACGTCGTTGCGGCGGGACCCCGACCTGAGGGGGGAGCTGGCCTTTCTGGCCAGGGGGTGTGACTTTGTCCTCCCCTCACGCTTCAAGAAGAGAATCAAGTCCTTCCAGCAGCAACAGGTCAGTCGGTGCAATAAGCAGGATGGACGCAAGTTTGGACTTGGACTCATGAGAAAGACGTTAGACACGCAAGAAATATACTCTAATCCTAAATACATATGTCTTTTTTTCTTTGTTTCTCTCTTCTACACACACATGTTCACAGATGTTCATATATTATACACACACATACAGTAGATACATCTTGTTGCTCTCATACACACAGAGTGACATTGCAGAGACGACAAACTTGTCTGAGGCAGATACCAGCAGGGTATTAATAGGGCAGGAGGTGCAGGAATAGAGTGATGGAATGAACTCTGTGAAGGAGAGTGGGAGGGGGAGGACCGCTACAGCTGTCCTGTTCAGTACTCACCCTCTGAGAAGGCCCTCAAGAAGGCAGACACCAGGCATCACGGAGCTCCTGCCCCGACGCACTGCGTAGTTTTGATTTAAGCAGTGTTAATAAAATACCAGCGTGAGGTTATTTCTATTTCATTTTGTGTAAGCTGTTACTTTTCAAGTCATCAGCCTTGAACTACAGCAGATGCGAATGGGACACCTCACCCTGTCATTGCTACTTAGTAGTGTACATTGTTGTCTTGTGAATTAGATAATGGAGTATGTGGGGAATAAAATAAGTGTGTTCGGAGCTCTTCCTGAGGACAGTCCACTATGTATGGCCCAGAAGACCCTTCTTGTATTTCAAACTCCAATTTGGTGCCCAGAATGTTAAAGCTAAACCGGCTCGGTCAAACCATCATCAATGCATCAGAACAGTTGCCATGAGTGTTGCTTATTTTTACCTTATTAGTCATTTAAGGTTCCAGAGATTAGGATGGATTAACTTAAGCCCAAAATAGTCTTCACTGTCACACTCTTGTGCCGCCTGTAGCTTTTAGCCAACCATTTAAAATCAGTCATAATTGCAGACTATAAAACTCACTGACTGTGAAGTCTCTTGTTCTTTGTACATATTTTTATGATTAGTTGAGAGTTTGCACCACATCCCTTACATGGATCCCTTATGCTCATAAAGCGAAGTTGTGTCTTGTCTTCACTTCTGGAAACAGTACTCAATATCTTTACTTAGTTACTTTTCATAAAAAATGAATGGATTTAGGAATTTCATGTTGTCTGTACATTTTGATCAGGTCAAAATCATGCAACAATATGGCAGTAAGAGTAAGAGTGAGAGTGCTGTCAATTGGTATTTATAATGCAGTGGAAGAATGGAGCTCTGGTTAGGAACAACAAGCCACATCAAGCATACCTATAGACTGTGGTGTTGTAGTCATTAGCATGCTGTCTATGTGGTTTGTTTTATACCTTACTTTTAAGATTTGGTTAACAAACCCTACAAACAAAAGATGAAATTGCAATGTTCTTATTTTGAATTGTAACGGATTACAGTCAAACCAGCTTGTCTTTTCCCACACATGATCGTCCTTTCTCTCTTTTCAGGTCCAGTCCAAACCCGAGAAGAAACCAGGCACACCTCCACCGGCCCCTGCCCTGTCCACCCACACCCCCACCCCCACCCCAACACCACGCTCACCCAGCCCTCCTCCGGCTCCGGTGATAGTCACCCCTCCTCCCCCTGCCATCAACATTCCCAGGTTCTACTACCCCCGTGGGCTCCCCGCCATGGGCCCGGCCACCAACCACGACGCAGCCATTGCTGCCATCGAGACGGCCTTCACTGAATTTGAGGAGGAGAAGGCTGACATATATGAAATGGGCAAGATCGCAAAGGTCGGTAGTTTAACAACAGACATCACAATGTTATACGATATTTTTCACAATATTTTCATGTTTTCTCTAAAATAACATAACTGTTTGATTTAACCCTTTGATGCGTATGATCATACAAGTGTGATCATTCCAGCAAACTAATCTGAACACTGATGGGGTGTATTGCCATTTTGAAGTCAGATTGGTCTTTGAAAATGTATTCATACTAAGTTTTTATTCACACAGTTGAAATTCAATTTTTCTCTGAAATGCAGAGTTCGCAGGAGGTTGTTTTTTAAAATTATCATTCATTTTGTTTATTTATTTATATTTGTTTATTTGTCATTGACAGAGTGACAGAAGGACACTTTTATTTGAAGTCAGTTCTTGGCGCTTTTATTTTGAAGACAATTCTAAGACACTCTTACCTCAATTCCGTTACATCTACTTGTAACAAAAAAAACACATGGGGGCTAGTTTGAGGCTATCTTCCATTACCGTTTCCAAGAGAAACACTCTGCAGGCTCTGCTTCCCTTCAGATACAAAAACACATCCATGCTCATGGGCGACACCACACACACTCTGAGAGAGGGAGAGAGCTGCAGGAGAAGCAAAACGCCAAGTATTTGTACACTCGATACTCGCGATATAGTAATTTACTACATCCAACACAGAACAAGCAATACATCGAGTATACTCTATATATCGCCCACTCCTACATCAACGCTTACTGGCAGTATTATGTGAGATTGAAGCTACCACACTAATTTGTTTTCCTTGAAAAACGTTTTTTTTTTGTCTTACACACGTTGGCCTCATTGATGCAGTGCTGTTGTTATGTTGCCACTCCTTTCTAAGCAGTGTGATCACCGATTCTGGGAAACAAACGCTGTGGTGAAGTACTGTGCACAATTGATTTTCAGGGTAAGATAATGGTGTTGTTACTTGTCGTTCTGTGCAGGCATGCGGGTGTCCACTTTACTGGAAGGCTCCCATGTTCTACTCAGCAGGTGGTGAGAGAACGGGCTTTGTATCTGTTCACTCCTTCATTGCAACCTGGAGGAAGTAAGACAGGCCTCATGTTCGTCTAAGAAAGTCTCATGAAATGTGACGTTGTAACTCTCATCAGCTTATATTAAACGCCTCCTCTCCTACAGGTTGTTGCACAGTTGCCACGATGACTCGTCAAGGTTTATCTCCCTGCTAGCCAAACCCAGCTGTAACTACCTGGAGCAGGAGGACTTCATCCCTCTAATGCAGGTAAATTTCATATCAACGTCCATCAATCAGACGAGCAACGCAAACATTGCACAAGCTCTGCACTATTCTCTGTGTTTACCACACACTTTTCCTTTTTTCTGTTTGTGTTTGACTGATTAGGACATAGTGGATACGCATCCTGGGCTCACATTTCTGAAGGATGCACCTGAATTCCATTCCCGCTACATAACAACGGTAAATGGCATGAAAAATGATATCCACCGTCCTTTTAATGTGATATTATGATTACGGTGTAATGATAGGACGACCATTTTATTAGTCTGCTGAGTTGGCTACATTGAAGCCACAGCTTCTTATGTTATCCAAGTATAACTAAAAGAAATTACAGTATTATATGAGAGTAAATCCGCAACCTAAGCTAAACATCAGACAGTCTTACATATTAATGTTGTCCTAGTACTCACATTTGATGTATTGAAGATCAATGACATCTCAGAATCTACTCCTCCTACATTGTCAGCAAAGCTGTTTCAGTGCACGTCTAGTAACTTTAGCAGCTGTGTGTGTGTGTGTGTGTGTGTGTGTGTGTGTGTGTGGGGAGATCTGGACAGCTGCAACACGTTTTTTAGAAGTTGGGGGTTTGCTGCGTAGAAGTACAGAGAAGTTCGTGCTCTGATGCGTCAGGGGACATCACAGAAACAGTGACGCCCCCCCTCAGCCCGCTACAGCAGAGGCCCTGACCCTCCACATGCCCTTATTAAGACACTTCCTTCAGTTAAGGACAGATGACCCGCTACTGTATGAGGCATTTGTAGCCCTGGGAGGTCCATGTACCAGGAAATGTGTGCTAATCCGCTCTTTGCTAAGCCTTAGAGTTGTGTTTCAGTGACAGGCAGCCCAGACCCACTTGTTTCCATTGTATGATAAAGACCCTCCCCTTAGTTTGAATGTGGATGAAAATATCAGTTATAGTTGAATCGGTGGTTGGTCTCCCTCATGGAAAGATGAGGAATATGTTTAATAAGTCTGGATGATGGGGCTTGGGAAGATCCCATGTGAGTTTCATGCCATTTCTATGGATTGAAAGCAGAGCCCAACCAGCCTGTCAGACCTTTCGTCCTGCATCCCTTTTTAGACTCCCATTAGCCAGAATGAATAGACATAAAACATTTCATAGCCTCTGCCATCTCTCAACATTTCAAATTATCTTCAGATTATTTTTAAATGTTTACTCATAATTTTACTTGTGTTTTGTGTTTCACTGCTGCTCAACCAATTGCCTTTTTAGGACAAATACAGTGATCGATTGAAAACAATCGAGGCAAAAAAATCCTAGAAAAAATAATTTCATTCTGCTCAATTTCATATGATTCGCTCTGTTAATCGGCACCATTCGGATACTTTGTCACCCCAGGTGATCCAACGGATATTCTACGTGGTTAACCGTTCGTGGACGGGTCGCATGACCATGATGGAGCTGCGCAGGAGCAACTTCTTACAGACCTTGGCCCTGCTGGAGGAGGAGGACGACATCAACCAGATCACTGACTACTTCTCTTACGAACACTTCTACGTCATCTACTGCAAGTTCTGGGAGCTTGACACTGACCATGACCTCTACATTGACCCCAAAGACCTGGCAAGATACAATGACCATGGTAAGAACAACTTAAAGAGCGGCGGGTTTACTGTCCCCAACTGAAATACATCCATACCTGACACATGGGGGTTTATTCTACAACAAATGTAAGTTTATCAAGAAAGAATCTAGGCCTTAAAGCAGAACAAATATTATTTCAAAATCAGAAACGGCAACATCGATTCTGAGATAGTTGTATTATGTACAGATTGTAAAACCCCTTGAGGCCTATTTGTGATTTATGATATTGGGCTGTATGGATAAATAAAGAAATGTGTTGGTCCCATTGTATTTAATATGGATGTTATGCCAGTAACGAATCAGAAACAGATGTCTTTGGATTTGGCACATTCATTTGCTTATTTTCCATTTGTTAGACCCCCACTAGCTAGTGCAGAAAACAACAGCTGTTTGTCCGAGGCTGAACACTTCCATGCTGTCTGATGTGAAATGCATTACACTGTTAACATAATTATATGACCACCTCACCAAATTTTAATTCACTTACTCTGTACTTGCGCAAGTGAACTGCAAATGCAATAGTGTACAACAGTAACCCATTTATCTTTTGGACAAAAATCTTATTTGCTTATTTTTCTCATTCTCTCCTCTGACAGCCTCCTCAAACAGAATCATTGAAAGGTTGTTTTCAGGGGCCGTTACTCGGTAAGTGGAAACACGCAGATAAACAAAGGAGCTAATTACTTCACCGTAATGGCGGTATTGAATGTGAATGTCTCTTTCTCTCTTGTTTCCAGGGGTAACGCTGTGCAGAGGGAAGGCAGGATGAGCTACGCCGAGTTCGTCTGGTTCCTCATGTCTGAAGAGGACAAGAAAAATCCCACCAGGTGATGTACAATGTGATTGAGCAGCTGCTCTCTCTCTCTGCTTGTGTTTAATACATATGCTGCATCCCAGGCAGATGCCATTTTATTTGCAAATGCACTGCTTCCACCATTTATGGGTGTTTGTGTGTGTACATGGTGTGTAACTCTGCATGCACGTGTCATATCGCTCTCCAGTATAGAGTACTGGTTCCGCTGCACGGACGTGGATGGCGATGGTGTCCTGTCCATGTTTGAGTTGGAGTATTTCTATGAAGAACAGTGTGAGAGAATGGAAAGGATGGGCATCGAACCTCTGCCCTTCCAGGATTTGCTCTGCCAGATGCTCGACCTGGTCAAACCTGAGAGTTCAGGTTAGTGCCAGCACAAGCACATCCATGGTGTTTTTTAGTGTCATCTTTAATTTCTTTTTACCTTGCAATCTAAACATAACGCATGCATGTGTTTGTGTACATGTTGATTTCTCCAGGTAAGATAACCCTCAGTGATTTGAAGCGCTGCCGGATGGCCCACATATTCTTTGACACCTTCTTCAATCTGGAGAAATACCTGGACCACGAACAGAGAGACCCATTTGCTGTGCAAAAGGTGAATTAACATCTCTTAAATATAATATTCAGCCATATTGCAGGAACTGTCAATTTGAAGCAGCACACAGTTAAAAAAGAACTTATGAAATGTGTCTCACAATTGATGAAACATATCTTTCTTGGTGACTTTTGAGATGTTGGAGAAGATGATTGTAATATAATAACATTCAGTGCCCTCAAACTTAACAAAATACTGTGTCTGGGCTTCAAATGTTATTTTTTTAATATCTAAGATATTACTTTGGAAATTAATAACAATTCACTCACAAAATTCCACCATTACCACGAAAGAAATTGGATACTGGGTTTTGGTACATACCCCGAACTTCCAGGTGCCATGTTTTTGTATGGTTTTAAAGCTACTTCTCTTTTTGTCTCTTAATTTATTTTGTAAAAATGTATGAAATTCTCTCTTTCCTCTAAAATATGGATATTTGCTGTGCACGTGTTGTTCCAGGACATTGATAGTGAAGGTCCAGAGCCGTCTGATTGGGATAAATATGCCTCAGAGGAGTATGAGATTCTGGTTGCGGAGGAGACTGCAAATGAACAGCTACATGAGGGGTACGATACACACACTTATACTTCCATACATGCTGGGGTCCATTTAATTAAAAAAAAAAAAAAAAAAAAAAAAAAAAGGTTTTCCGCTCATTTCAAGAAGACACCCCATTTTTAATATTTGAAGATTAGCTTGACTGTCAAGACAATATAACAACAATTAACCAGTTCTACTATGCGTGTCATGTTCCCAGGTCCTTTGATGACGACTATGAATCCGAGGAGCTTCAAGTTCCAGGAGAGATTGGGAATAAAATGGAAAAACTGGTCATATCAGACCTGTCAGCATAGAACTCCGTCTTTGGAATTCCTGGGCTTTTCATTCTGGAAAACAAACAAGGAATGCAGTGATAGGAGCTCCCTGTGGACGGATGCATCACAAAATACACGGACGTAAAGACTTAAAACGGATTTGGCATCTGTTTCTCGACGACTTTGGAGTCTCCTCATAACGGACTCATCGTTTTTCTGTGTGTGTGTGTGAGACCGTAAACCAGTACTGTTCTTGTGTCTGGTGCAATAACGCATCCGTACTCATACAGAGAACAATTTCACTGCCTCCAGCTCTTTGCTCCGTCCGACAGAACAAAGCCGACGATGGGGTGGAGAAGTGTATGATAAGCTCTTAAAGGAATTAAGACTAAACATTTCACTGTAAAATAATGTAATTGTGAATTTTCTACAGACAATCCTGCCAGCAGACAATCATCTGAAGGTAGACAGACAGGTCAGACTGTCAGTTACACAAACAGACTCCTAGTGAGACAGAAACAGAAGATATAGTGATAGGCACTGAAAACCCACAGTCATCTGCTCAATAAGGATACATAGAGACAGACACTGCCATCGGAAACCTGCTGCCTGTGCAGCTGTGTCACTGTGTTCCTTGTAAAGGAAGTCGTTAAACCTCCAGTCCCTTCAGGGGAGGAATCATGTAACAGTTTGGGTGATTGTAACAGCACCTCTCTGTGGCCAGTCTGTGCTAATGCCGGCCATCACTGTCATGCACGGTGCATAATGGCTGGCCAACTTTTCCAAGAGGGAGTTCAGTTCACTGCACAGCCTGAGCTGCTCTATTATTAGTTCAGCATTATCATTGCTCCACCTCTGGACTCCCTTTGAAATCCGTTTTTAAACCCTGTAAAAAAAGTCTCTGACGACAACGACTGGAAGGTCACTTTATTGTGTCATTTCTCAGTCAGGTCCCAGTGAGACATATGCACATATAATGATGCATGTTGACAAACATATCAAACTCTCTGGTAGAGTTGCCCACACATTTCCACCCATAACATTTGACACGCAATAGATGCGCATAACAACTGTGAGTTGTTCCTGTCAGTCTCATGCAATTATCCAGCACATGTACAGCACCTGGTAATTACTTTGATCTGTTTTAAAAATGTATGCCAAAAATTGTAATTTTCCTGCTTCTACATCTCATTGTCGTACACCGTTTGTTTGTTTATGGAACATCTGTTCTCCCTGTTACACACACACACACACACACACACAGTACCAGACACACCACTAAAGATGCCGCTTAAGGACTCAGTTCATGCAAATTATGAAAACATATATTCTCATACCTCTAGTGGTATCTAGTCTGCAGGTTTTTTTGCAGAAGTTTTATGAAATCCGTCTCTGAGATTTTTGCCTCGACCACATCATGAATGGAATTTAATTTGTGGCTCTTAAAACATTGGAGCTACTTACATTAACGGGGAGATGTGTTACTGTAATTTGTCTTTGCTTTAAGCACCAACTTACTTCCTTTCACCTGTATTTTATTCAAATGTAGGCAGACATCTCAGTGACTGATAGATTAGAACTGAGGCAAATAAAATCCAAACTATTTGCATAGACAGATGCACTCAGTGAGATTTTACCTTTTTAATTTGAATAAACTGACCCTTTCACTCTATTATTTACTGTGCTGCACTCACAGGGACAGGTGCATGTATGCACACTGCCCTTGCTGTATTAGCTAGCAGCGTGTGTTTGCTTAGAAATTACTGATAGAGGGGTGTGTTTTAGGAGCGTGTGATGTGTAGCTCTCAGTTTCAGGCTCTTTATACGTCATAGTCGTTGCCATGGGGATGGTGTTCCCGGTGTGTGTGTGTGTGTGTGTGTGTGTGTGTGTGCGTGTGTGTGCTTGTATAACTCTTTAATTAGGAATGGGACAGCTTTTGTCCTCATTGGCTTCAAATTCACTGACATATACCTCCTTTCCTGGCACTTACTGTACATACACTTATGCACACACACACCACAGTTGCTATTGAAAGGGAGAAAGAGCTAGTGGACGCTGTAGGTTTCCCCCTTCTGCTCTATAGCCATTGTAAATGTGCCCCACTGTGTATTAAACTATATTATAATAGTAATAACTAATGAGAGCCATTATAAATATAACGGCTCCGATTTTTGATGTATTTTGATGGTTTGTATTGCTGTGCCACTGTGTGGCTCGGGATAGGGGGGTAAGTTATGTTAGATGTGTGTATGTTTGTGTTTGACGCACGGTGGATTCCATCCGCAGAAGAGGGAATCCTCTGGAGGACTGCTCTGACAATCACAAAAATATGAGAAACGGCTCATATGGAGACCCTCTGAGACTGATGTTTCACAGCTGTGGTCACACACACACACTCACTCACACACTCCCAAGGAGACCCACTCATCCAAACAGTATTTACGAAGAACTGTTGAAGGCAATGATGCATCTCCGATTGCGTCCTTGTACTCACACATGCAGCATCAGGCAAGGAGAAACCCATGCAGGACTTTTACTTTGAAATTGCATCCCTACTTTGAAAGGTAGACGGAAGACTTTTATTTGTATGTACTTCCTCTGTGCAGTGGAGACTTGAGTAGGCTGAGATGTGTTCAGATCCTGACGGTTATTGTGTTGGCATGGTTTTCTTTCTGTCAATCACTTTACTTTCTTTTTTTGTTTCAATTTCTTTCTCTTATTTTCTTTCTTTCTTTTCCTCCATCTACCTTTTTCTTTTCTTGGCCCCGCCCCCTGTTATTTGTTGCTTTTGTCTGAAGTTTAAATAAAGATGTTTCAAGAATATTATTTCTCCTTGAAGATTCTTTACGGTTGCCCACACACACACACACACACACACACACGTTCGTCATCATTCCCTCCTTGTGTACACACACTGTACAGTAGGTGTGTTTGTCTGCACTTGTGCTCATTAGAGTGTACTTTACAGCCTTTTGAATTACTGAGTGTGCGAACTGGTCTTCTGACCCTTTTTACCTCGAGGCATATATTTTTTTTACATGTCTACTGTTTCTGTACATGTGTTGGAAATATGTGTAATAACGTCAAACTGTTCTTTAAAGAACATTGAAATTGACACTAAGAGTTTGTTTTCTCCAAGTGCAGGAGATGATTTGATGCTGGCTCAGTTCATTGACGGTTCTCAGACCCACATGGCTTGGACTGACTGGCATACGTGACGTCAGCAGCTCTGTAATGGATCACTGTGGCTTGCGTCACTGTTGTCATGACAAACATGGACCAAAACAGGAAGTGTCTGGTGAGGGTGGCACATTGTTGATTGTTCTTTTGGCAGAAACCAGTCTGGAGATCCCCAGGCTGACTGCAGCCAATGATCCTAAGTTGACTAAGAATCACTCAGTCATTGCATTTTACCCCAAATTGGCTCATTGACATCATAGTCCTTGTCAAGGGAAACAATTAAATTGTGTAGCTTTCCAAGTGGACCCATTTTGGGTTTACCCAAGTGGGATGCGTACTGATACTGTTTACAACATGAGTCAGCTGATGAGTTACTCTGGGCATTAGTACCTTTCTTCACCCTCTCCATCTAGCTTGCAGTGTCTTCTTTGCTTGTGGTTTCCCCTCACCATGACAGCAGTGTCACTTTGCTATTACTCCTACCATGGAGCAGTTGCCATATAGGATACCTCTTTCATGCTGCTTGCTACCAGTGACCATACTAGGCAGTGGTGTGTGTGTGTCCACACCCGGCAGGAGCCAAGTGGTACCATCTGGCACCACTGATCTCTTCACTATTACCACCGTCCTCATCCTTTCCCTCTTTGTCATCTTTGTCCATCCAATAGCTGTTAAGGTAGATACTGTCATTGCCATAGAGCCATTAAAAGTAGCCATTTACATCTAGACAAGTTTTAGTGGTTGAGTTTTGCTCATCTATGTTTTTATTTGGACTGAATTTGAATTTAAGGTAGCATAGTTTACCTCATCAACTGCATTTTGGTTGGCGCCATCACACGTGGTTCCCACATTTCCATCTGCAAGAGTATATTCACTCATCTTCCGACTCAAAATTAATTAGTCTAAGTGGGACTTAAAATAACTTCTCTTACGTGTTTTCTTAGAGATGTAATTCATGGCAAACCTGTTCCTGCCGAGGGATTATTGTTCTGAATGTGAGAATTGTCCTGGAAATGGTGTAACAGTTGGAATGCCAACATGTTGTGATTTGAGCAATTTGCCTCCCATCGAAGGTCAGAGTTGACTGGTCATTGTTTGAAATGGCTTGTTTTTCCCCCCCACAAATGTCAGGGACAAAGCAATTAGTCAACCAGATCGCAGTCCCAGCTCCTTGAGTCACAGGCATTCCACTGCCGTGATTGCCAACACCCACCACCCTCTATGGTGGTGTGGCGCGGCCTGTGTGACGTCACCCTTTGTGTTATCATGACTGGAAGGTGTTCTGTAAGTAGGAACACATGACACGATTGGCAGAGATTGAACAAACACAGATATCCCCTGAACACGGAGCTTTAGATAAAAGCTGACTGGAAACATCCCCCAAAAGAGCAAGGAAGCAACTGGAACCAATTCATCTTATTAAAGAGAGAAAGACGGCGACAGAGAGATGTGTCTGGGCACTGGAGGGTCTTGAATCAGGCGGAAAGTTTTGTTTGTTCCAGAATCCAGACATACCAGTGATACCAGAAACAGGAGCTTTGGATAAAGCTGTTTGGAAAAGAGTGAGGAAGCAACTGGAAGAAACTAATCTTATCAAAGAGAGACACCGAGATGTGCTCGGACACAGAAGGACTTTGAAAGTGTCCTGCGTGTTCGAGACATACCACAGATAATATTAATATGATAATTATAGATATAACACAAATGAAATACCAAATATCGGTACCAAACATTTAGAGCCACCATGTGCAGATGTTTGACATGCTAGCAGCTCAGCTAAGATGTTCATATGTGTAGTATCTACATGTCACCTTTTCATTTATATGAAGGTGTGACTCGACATAATGTTTAATTATGTGTATTCCCAGCTCATTAAAGCTTTAAAATGTGAGATTAACTCTGTGTCAAGAAGTGGTAGGCCTACATTAAACATTTATTCTGCCAAAACTGTCACATCCCACCCAGTAGCAAAAGGCAGATAAAAGAATTCCACTCTCTTTCCAGAGAAAAAATATGTTTCCGTGTTTATTGTAACATTTGCACAGTGTGGCATGTAAGCACATGAAAAGGTATCTGTTCCTGATAATGTTCAACTAATTTGTCATTTAAAGAGGAAACTGGTGTGATGCAATGTGATGTAACATAATGTAAAGCTGAGAATAATGGAATTATGTTTTTTTTTTAAGTGATAGCGGCACACACATCCCAAATGAGATCCAGCTCATTTGAGGGGGTGAGGGTTAGAGAGAGGTTGACTAAGAGAGAGAGAGAGAGAGAGAGGCATGCCTGCTCATGTTGGTATTCAGAGAGCTTTGGGTTGACTCCTTTGAACTCATGATGAGCCAAATTCCATCCTCACATCCATGAGAGTAAGCACCTCACACACTCACACTCACACGCACACATACACACACACACAAGCGCAACCATCATGTTCCATTCAAGTCTTTTTTGCTGCCAGACGCCCATTATCATCTGTCACCTGGTGTCTCCGACTAGCGTTTCATCGAACATAAGCACACAAGCGCTCGCGTAGACACAACATACACACATAAATGCATGCATAAACACAAACAAGCAGGCACGTGAGAGCGAGGCAAAGGCATAATCAACGTTTTAAAAACCACATCGAAGGACCGGCTGCAGTCCAACAATCTCTTTCCCTGCTTTCTCTGCTTTGCTTCCTCTGTGCCATGAGAATATAGAATATGTATGCACACATCATATGCCTGGGCACATTCCACTTACTTCAAAGACCTCTGGTGAACTGAGTGTGCATGATTACAGGGAGGGCTTGCTTTTAAAGAGCCTCAGAGAGAAAAAAATCTGAGAGGGAGAAAGATGGGGAGAGAGAGAAAGCAGCTGGGTTGGTGATAAACATCTGGTGGTTGTAGAGGCCTGGCCCTGACATACAGGGGAAATAGCTGGGTTGCTGTTCCAAGATCTGCTCCCTCCAGTCTTTCCTCATCCACTCTCCTACACAGATCTAATCTAATGTGACTGGCTATCTGCAAAGGTCCAATACGTCACTCAAGGTTGCCCCACTTTGGCTTTGTTGACAGATTTATTTGAATCAATCGGTTTTGTTTTTTATGTTGGCACAGTTCACTGTACAAAATCCTGGGAACATCTCCCTGATATTGAGTTCCAGCGCCTGTTGCACAACAATTCACTTCTCACATGTTGTAAAGTTCCTGAGCCCTTCCCTAAATCATCTGCTTCTCTTTATCCACATTGTCCCCTTTGTGGTTAATACAGATTTAATAGGGGAGCTCAATAAGGGATAACATAGATTCACCTCATTAGTGTATTGCATAAAATAACATAAATATTACTGTTAATTCAACTTTTGAACCAACAGGGACAAGAAGTCTTGAAAGTTTCAACATCCATATTTCCATGATAACTGGGAAAACTTTATCTGTTGATGAAGATCATGTGATGCGACTGAAAGCTCCAGGACAGCTGCTGAATACACAGATCATGAGGTAAAAAATGTGAAGACTGAGCGGTTGACACAGCCATGAATAGTGGAATAGTGGACACATTCAATCAAAGCTCAACCAACATATTACTATATTACTATTGTTCATCAATTTCATAAAGTACCTTGATTTGGATTATTTATTCATTGGATCATTTTTTAAGATTACATATTGGATATTTTTCGTTAGGTAATGCCATTTCTTACCAGAGACAGCTACTGAGTGGATGAATTGAATGACACTCTATGATGATGACGGGTTCAAAAAACGAAATTCTGAAGCCGAATGCAATAATACACTGCAGACACTTCCGTGCATTTTAGTCCCCTTTCCTGAAGATAAATAAGGACTGAATTACAAGATCATTTCTGCTCCTCAAATGAATTTCCAGAAAATGTAATCACATTATGTATCCAAACAAACTGAATTTGAAAATGACCCAGTTTGGTTAAGTGGTATCATACACTATTTCTGCAGTTAGGGGGCTCCACAGGCTGTCTGTACCCACTGTATACAACCTGCACTGTACTTTTGGTGTGTGAGAAGGAGTTTTCTGCCTGCCACATCAATTGCCCCTTGAGGATGATTCGTGTTTATTGAACAGAACTTAATTTGATTTAATTCCTCACAGGCACACTGTCCTGATCTAGTGCCGTTTTTTCTTCTTCTACTGGCTTAGAATTACACCAGTGGCTGTTTTCTTAGTGCAGTTGCTGGAATGTGTGTGTGTGTGTGTGCCAACAGAGAGAAATCTAGAACTCAGGGGCAATGGGTGTATTTGGCTGAGTCTGCTTGCTCGAAAATAGAGAAAGAAAGAGGCTGATTACTGTTGGAGACAAACACATACATAACAGACGTAAACCCCGTTGTTAATTTTAACAGCTTGTTGTTTCTGTTGTTTCCACTTTTTCTTTATGTAGCTCCATGTTAATGAAACATTGTCTCCTCTAGATGATTTCCTCACATTTTCCAGTCTGGGACCCAGATTTGAATCTGTCAGTGAGTCTAATGTGGATGATATTGTGCAGTGAATTAGCTTTTATACTGTTTTCTGCTGAGTGGAGATGTCTCTCA